GAGAGAGAGAGAGAGAGAGAGAGAGAGAGAGAGAGAGAGAGAGAGAGAGAGAGAGAGAGAGAGAGAGAGAGGAGGGAATCCCAATAAATATATAATGAAGTAAACATGACCTCACCCAATAAATACTTCATAAGACTCCAGACCACGCTGGATTGTAAACTTATAGTAGTTGCATGGCAAAAACAAAATCATATTTTCTAATTGCAAAAAGTTAAAATAAAAACTCACACGATTTCCTCATCCAGAGGCCTCGAATAAAAAAAAAACCGAATCCAATTTTTAACTAAAAAAGCAACAGATCCCTGACTTATAGAGCACACGTGGTAACAAAATACGTGGAAATAATTTACACATTTAGACACAAAATGAAGTGTGTGATCAGGAAAACTGGTCATTTACAGGATTTGGCAGTAAACTAATCTTAGCTCTCAGCTCCTAACATCCTCCCCAATGGGCCTGAATAAATGTCACACTGCATTGTCATGAGCTCAGAGGGGAAATAGTAGCACAAAATAATATATAGAAACATTAATAAACAAGTGCTTTGAGTTCAGTGTATTTGTTTTTATACTGCTTTCATTTAGGGGAGTTTAACGCAAACTATTTCACTTCAAATGAAAATTTAATATAAATAATAAAAACCTTGAAGCCTAAAAGGTCCTGCGTTAGAAATGTGTGGAAACAGTGGGTCTTACTTGATGCCTTTACTGGACTCCACATCTTCATCTCTCTGCGCGTAAAAGACTGATGGTTGTTTTCTGGCTTTTTCAGTCATTATTCGTTTGTTGGAATTTAATTCGAAGTTCATAGTCACTGATGATTGAAGAAAAAGAGGAGTGTGATAGGAAATATAATACAAATCGGATTTTAACAGTTCCAAGTCCTTTTTCTTGGGTCATTTTTCTGTGATTTTTTTTCTTATTTTTTATTATTAATTTTAGACGCATGCGGAGTACTTCATCCGTTTCTGTTTCTGCCGCTGGTTGCAAAACCAGACCCGCACCACGTTCTTTTTCAGGTCCAGCTTCTCCGCGATCGCCGCGATTTTCTCCGAGGAGGGTCGCGGCTGGATGGCGAAGTAGGCCTCCAGCGATCTCTTCTCCGGCGCGGCGATGGACGTGCGCTTCCTCTTCTTCTCCGCGCCGTTGAACAGCTCGGGCTTGTTCAGCTTCTCCCGGTGCGACTTCTCGGCTTCCTCCAGCCACGCTTGCAGGATGGGCTTGAGCGCGATCATGTTGTTGTGCGACAGCGTGAGGGACTCGAAGCGGCAGATAGTGCTCTGGCTGAGGGAGCCCACCCCGGGTATCTTCAGGCTGGCCAGAGCTGACCCCACGTCCGCCTGCGTGACCCCGAGTTTGATCCGCCTCTGCTTAAACCTCTCCGCGAACGCCTCCAAGTCCCTGGGATCGGCGTCCACGTCGGTCATGCCCATGTGCGGCGGCAGCCCGTGCGCGTGGGCCATGTTGATGGCCGCCTGGTGCATGTGGTTCATGCCCGCCATGTGGGCAGGGTGCGCAGGCGTGGAAACCACCGAGCCATCCGGCCCCGCCATGGCTCCCAGCGCCAGTCCTGGGGTGATGTGATCCAGCAGGTCCCCCTCCAGCGCCTGGTGGGGCTGGTGATGGTGGTGGTGGTGGTGGTGGTGATGGTGGTGGCCGGCCAGCGCGGACGGGTGAGAGATGGGCACAGAGGAGGAGGAGGACGACGACGACGTGCAGGGGAGCGTGTTCATGGTGTGGTAGGTGGCGTCCGGCTTGAAAGGGCTGTGGTGCGGAGGGTGGTGGTGGCTCTTGGTCTGCGAGACTATATCCACCGCCGCGAGAGCTTCAGCCCGGGCCAACAAACTCTCATCCAAGCCTCCGAATATATTGCTCTGCAATTGCAAATAGAATGCACACATAACTGTCAGCAGGGAATTCTCCCTCCACTCCTCGGTTTAAAACATTTCCAGAATGTGAAAAAAAAGAAATCCTTTAAAAAAAAAGGAGGGAGCACACAAAACAAGACACATGCAACATCCCAGGTCATAAAAATTAATACGAAAGGCAAAGCCGACTGAATACATAAGTTGAGCTGAGGAAGAAAAAAAAATATGGAGGTGTTGGGTGATTTGCTGTGCAGACATGAAAAAAACATCAAGCGAGTGGGGGGGAAAGTGGGCTGTCAAAATGTGCCTTTAAGCTGTGATTATGCAGATACGTACCGGTGGGGTTGGGAGACAGGCTCTGCGCATCACCTCGGAGCTGCTGCTGCCGCTGCCGCCGCTGCTGCTGATGATGGTGCTGCTGCTGCTGTGGCGCGAGGACGAGCAGGACGAGGAGGGCGCGTTGGAAGTCAGGGTGGAGGAGGACGAAGAGGAGTGCAGCGAGGAGTACTTGGGCTCGGGCAAGCTGCTGTGCGCCATGCTGAAGGGCTGCTTGCTGTTCAGAGACATCATCATCATATTTGCTGTGGTGTCCAGAAAAAAAAGTTCTCCTTTTTTTTCTTTCTTTCTTTTTTTATGAGTTCAGACTCCGCCTCCTTCGTGGAGCTGGGAGATTCTGCAGGAATCTGGAGTCAAGAGGGGGAAAAAAGGTGTGCAAGGACTGCTCCAACACTGAATCACATCTATTTAATATTACGCACGCTGGTATGAAGATTTTTTTTTTTTTTTTTTTTTGAGAAACGAGGTATCACCAAGGCGCCATGCAGCTGAGTCTCCTTTGTGGACCTGTGGGGTGACGTTCAAAACGAGTTTCTGCTTTTCTCCATCAAGTTCCACCACTTAGTAACATGTAAATATATATAATTTTTGATGTTTTTTCTTTTTTTGTCTTGGATTTAGGTGTAGATTTTTATGGCTCCTCCGAACGACTCCAGGAAAAAAAAGAATTTAAAAAAATCCGGTATTTAAGGTTTCCAAAAAAAGATCTCAAGTTCTTTGCTGGTTTCGTTGATCTGTTTGTTTTCTTATTTGAAAAAAATGAAGAAAAAAGTTTCCGTCTCGAAGTGAGCGTATATGTGGGAAGTTATGGCGGTGACAGTCTCTCCAGCTCCGCTGAATGCTGCGGGGACCCAAACTGGCTGCGCTCTGAGGCGAAGGGCAGACTGAGTCTCTCTCCGCCTCTTTCTCTATCTCTCCTACTCACACACACTCACACACTCCCTCCCTCTCCTTCTCTCTCAACGTCTCACCCTCTCTCTCTCTCTCTCTCTCTCTCTCTCTCTCT